GTTTAGAAGCCACCCAAAGAGCCAGGCTATGGCAAACCAACTGATATTCTTGGTTGTGAGTGACAGAAACTGGCTCTGGCTAACTTAAGCAAGAAAAGAAATCTATCAAAAGGATATCAGGAAGCTCCGAAAATCAGTAAGAGGACTAGAGACCCAGACTTGGGAAATGGACAAGAAAAGAGAGCTGGAAAGTGGTGGTGTCGCTGGTCATGCTACTGCAACAGTCTGGTTAGGCCACTGCCTGAGCAGCTGCCATTATCACACTGGACATGGCAGCAACTGGCTAGTTGCTCCACGCTGCCTCCCCTAGAGAGTCAATGCCATTGCACTGGGCTCATTGCTGCTGCTGAGAAGGGTTTCCAATCCACCCCAACCCTCTGCTCACCTCTTGAGGAGCCTCAGCTATAAGGGACAGGGAGAAGGATGTAGCCCTTTCAGCTTATGTAGGTGGAAGCAGGTCCTATATTATAACAAGCAGGAAGCAGGATTCAGATGCTAGGTAGACAAAAGAGGTAACACTGAGGGTTAAGGGTATGACCAGACTTAACTCCAAGTTACTCTGGAAACCCATACCTCAAGAACGTTTGAAGGCAAGACTCTAATAGGTTCTAAAACTGTTTTGGACCACTTTGTGGTATTCCAATAGTGGTAACACCAATGGAAATAAGGTTTGCCAAAGGGAACAGGTAAAGGATATGTTTGGCTGCAAATATAAAAACCCCCAATTTCATTGACTTAAACAAATAAGGATTTTATTTTTCTAATATAACAAAAGTTTTGGAGGTGAATGATTGCTAGAAATGGCTCAGTGTCTCAGAGACATCAGGATTAAGTGTCTCTCTGCTATTCTCTTGGACTTTTCCTCATGGTCACAAAATGGCTGCTATGGCTCTGGATATCGTATCCAAGTCCATGAAAGGAAGAAGGGAGAAAGAAAGAAAAGATCCAAAACACCTGCATCATCTCCTTTGATCAAGAAAACAAGACCGTTTCCCAGAACTCCCCCTCCTTCTTTGCCACAGCCTTACTTCTACTTGCGCTTCAATTGCCCAAACTGGGTCATGTGGCCATTCCTAATGGCAAGGATGATTAGAAAAAATGAAAACAGTATTGTCATGATTGGCCTCCACCAATTTTGATCCACTGCTTAGGTGGGGGCACACTGCTACAATGTTAACGTGAGGAAGAAGGAGGGAGGTGGATATTGGACAACTTATCTAAATTCTGGTATCAGATTTGGGCATTGCAGGATCAGAAGTTGGACACACGAGCATGGGGGACAAGGGCCTTCCAGGAAGAGGTGACAGAGGAGCAGAAAAACACAGAGCATGTAGACAGAACACTAGATTTGGCTGGGGTGTAGGCGGCTGCACTTTTGTTAATCTATCCTATAGAAATAAAATCACTGACTGCAAGGATATAGAGCAAAAAAAATTGTACTAGTGAAAAAATTCTGATAACAACCTATATGACCATCAACAGGGGAATGGCTGATTAAGTGGGGTATATCTACTCTATGGAATACAGACGGTCCTTGACTTACAACGATTTGACTTACGATTTTTCAACTTTACAATGGTGTGAAAGTGATAGGCATACAGTAGAAACCATATTTTGAATTTTGATTTTTTCCCGGGCTACTGATATGCAGTATGATACTCTCCTGATGCTGGGCAGCAGCAGTGAGCTGCCACTCCCAGTCAGCCACATGATCACAATGGGAAACAACTGATACATTACAACCATTCTGTACCTGTACAACCTTTCTGTCTTTTCACTTTCAGTACAGTATTCAGTAAATTACATGAGATATTCAACACTTTATTATAAAATAGACCTTGTATTAGGTGAGTTTGCCCAACTGTAGGCTTATGTAAGTATTCTGAGCATGTTTAAGGTAGACTAGGCTAAGCTACGGTGTTCGGTAGATTAGGTGTATTAAATGCATTTTTAACTGGATGATACGTTCAACTTAAGATGGGTTTATCAGGTAACCCCATCATAAGTCAAAGAAGATTTGTACTATGCAGCTAAAAAACATGAAAAAATTAGCTCTCCATCTACAGACTCATTTTTTATTGGGAAAGAATGAGCAAGTTGCAGAGAACTCTAATATAATCATTTTTGTATAAACAAGCAATAACATAATAGCTCCATACATCTGAGTGTAATTTATATGAGCATGGTGAGCATGGAGAAAGGGATAGAAGTTACACCCCCGGCTGTTAACACTGGATATCTCAGGAGACAGGGTGGGAAATGAAAAGGAGATTGGTGAGATCATGTTTTTCTTTATGTATCTTTGAGTGCTTTACTGGTTGAAGTGAATATAGGTTTCTTTTATGAGTTTGGAATGCAACTTAACCAAAGCTGTTTAAAAGTAGTTTAGAACTAAATTACGAAGAGTCAAGTGTTACGTGTGGCAGCGGGAAATCACTGAAGATTTGGGGGCAAAGGAATGATGGGATCAAGAAAATTAACCTGGCAGGAGGATGTATAATACATTAGAGGCAAGAGAGGCTGAGGATACACAGAATAATTAGAAGGTTTTTGCAGTAGCAGCTCAGTCAGAAGCTAATAAAGGACTGAACTATGATAGCAATAATATGTGAAGTGAGGAAAAGGGGGCCCAGGCTACAGCCTGGGGACACGTACGCGTGGATGTTAGGAGTGGTCATGAGGGGGGTGTCTCCATTACACTGTGTCAACCAACACATCTTGCACTTTGAAAATCAGAATAAATGGCTGGAAAATCATAGTTTTTTTTCTTCTCCAACATCCTTGAGCATTGACTCGTTTGATATTTACACTATATGACTCAAAATAATCATTATTTTTCCATAAGATTTGTTATCTCCCTTATTAAATTGAGAAAACATCTTGGGATGTAAGACAATAAAGAATACTTATTGGTAGCCCCCAAAATGAAGTGAGCCCCCAAAGTTATCATTCATTCAGCACAGCTGATGGTACTTATGAACCCTTTTCCTCTTCATTTCTTGAAGGAACAGCCCCAGTCTCTGACCCCTCCGAGTTACCATCCAGTGAAGAGGAGAGGAAATGCTGTGTGGTAAGTGCTCCGCGAGAGGGTTATACAGAAGCCCTAACCCAGTACCGGGGGTGTGTGTACAGGAAAATGGTATGGAAGCTGAGACCTAAAGGCAAAGGAGCAGTGAGCCAGGTAAGAAGAAGGACAGAAGGTCATTCCAGATAGAAGGAAAAGCATTAGCAAGGTCCTGAGGTGGGAAGTTGTATGGCACATTTGAGTAACCAAAAGGCAGCATGGATGGCAGGAGCTCAGGATGAGGGGCAGTAGGAGACAGACAAAGGCAGAAGGGGGAGGTGAGGCAAATTAAACCTCAGAGAGTTGCCAGTCATGGGTTCAACTTGATTCTAAGAACAATGTGAACCCAGAAGCAAAAGCAGAGGAGAAACATGATCTCATATGCTTTGTTGTTGTTGTTGTTTTTGTTTTTTAATATCACTCTGGCTTCTGAAGGGCTGAAGGGCTATGAGGAAACAAGCCATCGTGCTCAGTGGTCCAGTTTCCCCATCAGGCTGGGAGCTGCCCAGGAGTTGAGTTGAGCCCAGCCCCATTTATACCTTTCTCCTCCTCTGTGTGGGTCCCCCTCTTGCTCTGCAAGGCCTCAGCTGCAGATAGATGCAGCTAACAGGCCAGGGAACACTCGAATAAGGTAAGTAAAAGCTCAGCAAGATTCCCCCAGAGTGATGGGTTGGGATGCTGGGGATCTGGAGAAAAGAAGGGATGAGGATATGGATGAGGATATGCGAGTGAGGCAAGGCCTATTTCTCCTCTTCGTGCCTCAATTTCTTTATCTATAAAACAGGGTATTCGTGGTACTTACCTCAGAGAGTTGCTGTTCTTAGCGTCTGGCACAAAGCAAACGTTCAAACAGTGTTAGCTTTGGCTTTTGACCTTCCAGAAAGACAGGTGGGACCCTAGGGCACGGATCTGTATTCCCTGCTGTCAGAGGAGCAACTGATTGGATCCTGGAGAATGTTTGAGAACCCCCTTGGCCAGGCAGGTCTCAGGACTACCAAAAGACCAAAGTTTGACAAAGTCTTACCTGAGCGTTTGGGCCAAGGCATGTGCTTGTGTTCCTGTGATTTAAAAATCCTTAGATACAACCCTAGGTGGGGAAAAGAAGCCGCCCACTGCCCCTCCTGCGAGACCCGGGTTGTACGCCAAGACCTCGGGTCCCAGCTTGAGACCCAGGGGCCCAGCCGGCGGGGATGGAGCCTGGCGAGCTGGGGGCGGGCCGCCGCCGCGGAGGGGCGGGACCGGCGCTGCAGCCCGCGGTCCCGCCCACGGCGGAAGTGCCGCCGGGCCCGCCCCTCCCTCCCGAGGCAGGTTCCCCTCGCCCTTCCCCCGCCTCGCTCTTCCCCGCGCAATTGGGCTCCTAGAGCTTGTTGGGCCAGGGCCTCAACACCAGTCCGAAGAGGAGGCCCCGGGTCTGAGTATCTGGCCGTCTCGGGTAATGCTCTCAGTCCCTCCCACTCCCCCGCCCTCGCTTCCATTCCTGCGTTACCGGCGCGGCAGCAAGCGCCGCGGGGGACCGCACAGGTAAAGACTCGGCTAGTGAGGGCGCAGGTGTGGACGGGTAGTGGAGAGGCTGATGGCACGTGCCCGGCTTTTTTCCAAAGCGACTGTATTGACAGTGGGGTTCGTAGAGGGCGGACGCAGACCCCAGGAGCGCAGCACAGCACTGGGGAAGCAGAGGGGGTGGGACTGAAGCCCCCAGAGCTTGGGGGCCGGGTCATTCGTGTCCCCGCGTCTTGCGCAGGCTCCGTTGTGAACGAGAGGTGGTGAGCTGCTTGGGTGGGGGGCGGTTCGAGGCCGCGGCACCGGACGGTTATCCCCCACCAGCTCCTCGAGGTGACTGGGGTTTGACAGTCGCCCCGCCCGGGCGCGCAGTCTCAGGTTTGCAGAATGAAAATCAATAAAACCGATGCAATGGCAACGAACACGAAACACGATGGGTTGTTATTATTTGAGTTTGTTAAATTATTTTTATTTTTTTTACTTCCTTCTCGGAAAAGGTGGCTCTGATCAGAGCCTCGGAGACGGACGCAAAATGCCCCCTGGTCTCCTGGCAGTGGGTGGGACCCCCAAACCGCACAAACTTCCCCGAGCGGCTGTGAGGGGTCCGGCGGTGGGAGGGGAGCCCCCGGTGCGCTGGGCTGCCGGATACGGCTTTCCTCCGCGCCTCATTGTCCGCACTTTAGGGCGCCTATCCCCCCTCTCCATTCGCGTTTCCCCAGTTCACCACCCCCACGCCCCGGGGGCCGCGCCTCCTCCCTCCCTCGAGCTCTCCCCGGCGCTTTAAATAATGATATTTGCATGCAGGGAGCGATTCATAAATATGTCAGGGCCGGTGAAATATAGGCAACATTTCAAACTTTCTATTTAAAAAACATGAATTATGGCCGCGGAAAATGTGTTCCCATTTAAAGGCGATACGAAGTATTTGGTGTCTCGTCCCCGGGCCCATCCATCACGCAGACAATAAAGAGAGTTTTTCGCCCTGACACCCGCGATTTATGGGCGCCCTTCTCTGCCCTCATCACTCACCCGCCGCGGCCGGCCCGGCGACAGGCCCCGTGGAGAGACCGGCGGCCGCCCCCCCCCCGCGGCCCCGCGCGCGCCTTTTGCGCCCTCGTCAGCCCCCCAAGACCACCGCTCCCGAGGGGAGCTCTTGCTCTGAGAGGCCGGCGGTGATGGTCTGGGCAGCCAAGTGGGAGCCGGAACCACACTCATCCTCTCACATCCGCGCAAGCCTGTATCAAGGCTGGGTTGAGTGGGCCGACAAGCGGCCTTGCGGGCCGGCTCTGCGTCCGGGCCTCGCCCGCCAAGCGCGGCACCGCGCGGAGAAGTTTGCGGGGCAGGCAGCGGGAGGTTATTTACGTGCGGTTTCGAGGTGAGGGGAGAGGTCTGGGCAGGGGGCTCTCCAGGGGGCTCCTCTGCCCGGGGCAAGGCGAGTTGGTCCCAAGCTTTCTTGAGCCCGGCTGGACGCACGCTTCTGGGTAAAGCTTTTTCTGCAACTTTTACAAAGCCGCCTCCTCCCTGGTGCGATTCCCACAACCACATCCTGGGAGTCCGCGGCACCTTGGAAACTATTTTTACGGACAGAGGCCGAGGAGTTGGCGAGAAATAAGGAAGGGGAGGCGCCTTCCCTCTCGTTTCGCCGCGGACCAAGCTCAGACATCCGGTGCCCTCTTCGCCCACCGCCCCACTTTGCGCGCGCTGTCCTCTCAAAGGTACCACCGAATCTTTGCTGCAAACTTGCTTCGTAGAAAGTTCGAGCTTCATCTGCCGTGGAATTTGCTTTCAGTTTTCGCCCCGGACGGACTCGGCCCGGCGGGTTCCCGAAGCACAGGCAGAGGCGGGCGACTGCCAGGCACTGCCGGGCAGCGAGAGGCTGCTCGGCCTGAGCGCGCTGATAGTCCAGCCTCCCTCGGAGGCCAGACCTGCCGCCTTATGAGCACGAGGAGCCATCTCGCGTCCCGTGCTGGGCCGATGCGTCTCCGTACACGGGAACCGGGAGCCGTTTCCTGCTGGACGAATGCGAGCTGGATTTATTCGGATACAGACAGCGCAACCCGCAGCCAGAGAAATTATGTCGATTCTAAAAATGACAAGGTTGAATTTATTAGATTAAGATTCATGTGTAAGTGCAGGGAGATGAAAATTATACAAACAGCTCCACGTCCAGTGTGAACGGAAGATTGCTTCCGGCTTCAAGGGCATGTAACATAACATCTGAATATTTAGATATGTAGAGGGATATAAAATACTATTAAATTCTCAGTGTGTGCACATATAGTTAAGTTGGAAAAATTCTAGAGCAAGTGTCATTTTACAGCCCCTGCTTGGGTGTAATCTGGGCTCGAGACAGTACTTATGTCCAAATAACCACCCAGCAAATATATCCTATAGCCAGAGTGAGTTCCGCATCGTTGAGGTGTGCGGTATGTGTACCTCTTTAAATATCCGCGGCGTGGCATAAGTGAAATAAATACATTTAAGAAAAGCTGGCGCGCAGATAATTAAGCCACTGCACCGCTACAATATTTCTGGGTAAGGAAATAACTATTCCTACTAGGTCGGCTATGGAAAGTGCACACAAATGGGGGGCTTTCGGGACTGCGTGGTAGGGGCCACGGGTTCTGCAGCTCCGGGCGCCGAGCACTCTGAAGTGGGCTCTATTCCATATCTGCTGCCTCGGACCCTGGCGTGACTACTGGGAGAGGCTCGGCCCGGACAGCCAACACTGCTGGACCTTGAGGGTTCTCCCCCCTACACACATTGAGAGGGAGACTTTCCGAGGCGCTGAACCCAGCATTTAGGGTACTAAGGCCTGAGATCCTGCGGGCAGTCGCTCCCCCTCAGACACTTCAACCACCCCTCAATCCCGGCTCCACAAGGCCAGAGCTGTGACCATTTGGGCCTATCGGTTTGGAGCAAGAGCGCAGAAAAGGGTGGATCGCGCTTGATTCCGAAGCATCCCAAAGCTCAAAGCCGGAGGCCACCGGGAAGAAGGCCACGATTTCACACCCGTGAGGAATCCAGGCCCCACCCGGGCCTCCGAACGCCCGTTGAGGCTATAGAAGCAGTTATCTGGGTGTATTTACTTATGAAATGTTAGGCACCCCCTCACATACTCAGGGCCGAGGCCCAGATGCCTCGTGGGTCTCCCTTGCTTATTTGCAAAGCCCAGGCAATGCCACCAGCTAGGTCAGTGACTTTGCAGCTGTGAAATTCCAAGATCAAATACTAATTCCAGAAGAGGCAGCTTGCGACCGTCCACCCATCTCACTGACCTGGTCTCTCTTTTTTTCTCACCCCTCCAAACGCACCCAACCCTTAAACAGGCGTAGAGCTTCTGAGAACCCCTGCGTGGGGAGAAATTAGGAAGGACTTGGTCCTTAGTTCCTGGGAATTGCACACACTCCTGAGGCAGCCCTGCCGCAGAGAAGTAACCCGGGCCCTGAGAATGCCCTGTTCAGCGAGTGTGGTTGCGCTGAAGTGGTATATACAGTATAGTGAGAGAAGGAAAAGAGAATAGGAAATATTCCCTGGCTAGTAGGAAAAGTATAAATGAAGAGGGGGGAAAGAAAGAAAACGGGTAGGGGGCCAAGGAAGAAGCGGGAGAGGAAACAAAAACGAGTAGGGGGGGTGGGGGGGGTGGGGAAGAACCAGGGGAAGCGAGCCGAGAAGAGTGCAGGCCTTGGCGAGGCCCAGGGACCAGGCCAGGCTGTGGTCCTGGCAAGCCTGGTACCCCCCCGGTCCCAGAAGAGGCGAGTGCCGCCCGGCACCGTCCCCCACCAGCCCATCGAATCTGGGCCCGGCTCCCAGTCCGGAGGGGCAGGCCTGGGTCCAGCGGCCTCCGCTCGCCCTTTCTCTCCCAGCTCCCGGGGGACCACGAGGCGGGGCGGAAGGGAGGGAGGGGGTGCCCCAAGGGGCGCGCGCCAGTCCGGGACTGTTTGGGCGCTCTGGGCCAGGCTTTCCAGCTCGCCGGGCCTGACCTGTCAGGCGGATTATCTTCGAGGGAGATTAATAGGGGAGGCGGGCTGCAATAATAATCGTTTTGTTTGATGTGACAACTCTGATAGGCGTTGATTTACTTACAAACTGATAGGCTTTTAATTGAGCGCCTCCGCCGAGCCCGAGATGAAAGGGAAGCGGCGGTGAAAGGCGGCCCGCCTGCCCTCCGGCCTCAATACTGATTAGCCATCTCGACAGTGAATAGTTCAAGGCATTTTCAAACTTTTTTCCTCAGCTCTCTCCCCTTCCTTCTCCTCCCACCCCCTCCTCAAATATCTGCCATGCCCACTCCTTTTTTAGAGAAAACAAATCATTTCCATTGTGTGCAAATAAAATCCGCAGGACATCCAGGCCAGTCGCCGCTGGGGGTTGGCGGCATTAGACCTAGGAATTAATAACTCCCTTACCCCTACGGCCTGCGCGGCCTCCGGGGATTTGGCCTCCCCCTCGAGATGGGCAGGCTCGGACGCTGGCGCCTACCAAAAACCCCGGGCGCGCAGACCCCTAGGCGCCCCCGTGCGCTCGGACCTTCGGAGTCGGATTTTGTGAAGAGCGAATGCACGCGGACTGAGACCCACGCCCGCGCTACACCGCGCAGGCCTGCGAGCGTGTGCGACCACACCGCGGCACGCCCATTCCGGGGGACGCTGGGGCCAGTCTCTGGTTCCCCCAGCCGCTGGGCGTAAAAAGAAAGCTGCTGGAATTACAGGAGAGGGAATGGACTGAGTCTGGAGACTGCAGGGCGAGGGGTAGGGAGGGACGCCCGCGGTCACCTGCATCTCTGGCCGACGCCCCCAGCATTCAGTGTCCGGGCCTCACCGGGAGGCCGCTGCGACACGGGTCCCATGGCTGGGAGATCCACAGTTGATCTGGGCCAACAACCGACAACCATGCACCCAATGACACAGACATACACCAACAGACCCGCAGGATACAGGCGGCCTCACAGTGTCTGCCCTGCAGAGACAGCTTAGAACCGTCCCGTCCTCAGAAACGGGCACCTGGGACTCGCTCCCCAAAGATTATTCAGACAACCTTCACAACCTCGCTTGTGGCCTCACCACCGTCTCACGGACTCACCTTCCTCCGTTGTCGCACAGGCAGACACTGCAAAGCCCCTCGAATTTAGGTGTGTTATTACACCTAAACACACGCTCACATACACCGACAAACTCCCCATATACACAGCGCCTCACTCCCCTCTTCTCCAAATTATCTTTAGACAGGTTACCATCTCATGAAGTCTACCAACCTAAAGAATCAAGGGATAAGATTAAAACGCATAAAAAGAATGCCTACGAGAAAATTCTAAAACTCACCCCCAGAAAGTTCTCGGTACCTGTTCGGAGTGGGAGACAGAGACAAAAATGAGGGAGAGAGGAATGGGGTGGTGAGAGAGGAGAGGGCGAGCACGCCGAGGGCAGGTCCCAGACCCGACTTCCGCGCCTACGGGGCTCAGGGCCGGCTGAGCACGAGTGGAAACCGGGTCTCCAGGCCCGGCCCCCGCCCCCGCGCGGGTACAGGCTGGCTCCAGGCTCCCCAGCGCTCCCAGCACCACCATTTATCAAAAGGACTTGACAACAAAAGAAGAGCCGGGGCGGAAAAGTGGGGGAGGGGATATTCAAAGTATTCCAAGTCCTTCCTACGAAGGGGATGTGTCCTCCTCTCACCCGCTTCCAGTTTCTGCGAGTTTTTGGAGGTGACCCCCGAACTCGCTCCGGACGCTCCCAAAGCCCTGACAACTCACACAGCGGCAGAGGCATTCATACACACTTCTGCACTCAGATCCAGGTACACGGAGGCACGCACAGCGCCTCCCCTCTTCCTTCCAAACAGCCAGAGTGACGGTGCAAATCGAGGGGAACGCGGCAGTCCCGCTCCGCTTCCCTGGAAGAGCCGGTGTTCCCACAGGCAGCAGCCCCCTCTCTCTCACTCCTTCTCTCCATTCTCCCCGCGCCGGTCAGTCCCGGCTCGGCGTTCCAATAAATTCGAGCGAGCAGCCCGGAGTAACCCCGGCTACCAAGACTGCGGGGATGGCGCGGGGTGAGGGAGGGTGGAGAAGGGGCCTGAGTGAGCCTGAAACGTTATCTCGTGCAAGGACCCATGGTCAGGCCTCTTCTTCGCAGTCTCTCAGCCCTAGCCACGATGGGGGGCGGGTGTCAAAGAATTGAGGCGGGGGTACCCCACCATTGACCTCCAGGACTCAAGGTTACGTTGGTGGTGTGGCTCTTAGAAAGAAGTCTCCGAGTTTGGAGTCGGGTCACCACGGAGGGCGGGGTCCGCGGCAGGCTGGCACCCTGACGACTGCACACTACACGCCCTGAAGGGACTACCCTGGCGTGGGGGGTGGAGCGGAGAGAGGACGACTCTCCCGTGTTAGACGTCGCCACCGCCCGTCTCGGATATCCTGTGCCGCCCGGAACTCTGCGGCCCCAAAGGACCGGAATTCCCCAGAGGTGGAAGGTTGTATCTCTCTCTCCGACATTGAGAGGAGCGAGGCGCACACCCCAGGCCAGCGCACCACTCTCAGCGCCCTGGGCGCACCTGCACACTTTACTCTCACTATTCATTTTCCTGACACTGAGCGCCTCTTTCTCCTCTTTCATTCTTTTTCTTAGAGCCCCCGCCTCTCATTCCAGGAGGCTGCTCCTCTTTCCCCCTTCTCTAGTTCCCCCTCAGTCTCTTCCTTCCTCTCCGTCTCTCTCTCCCTCTCTCTTTTTGCCTTCCAGTCGCACCCGCCTTGTAATCAGCAACAAAAGCTGACATAAATCACCGTCGGATTGACAAGAGCTGACAAATAACTGATTGATTGCGGTCGAGGAACATTGACAATTGATGGAGGGGTGGAGATGCCCAAAGAACGGGGCGGGGGGGGTAGAAAAGAGGGTAGCAGGGGAGAGTAAGAATGGGGGGGGCTGAGTGTGAAACAGAGGAAACATGTGACCCCCGCTTCTGCCCCAATCTGCGCATCCCCGGGCGTCACGTGGCCGGGAAGGGCGGGGAGCCTAGCACACCAAGCGGAGACAGGCCTCCACCGCCTCCGCTGCCCACCCAGCTTCTGGTTTCTCCGCCGCCGAATCTCGAGAAATCAAAGCGGGCGGGCGGACTTCCTCCAACACCCGCTCCCCACCTTTCTTTACCCAGGCGGCCGCACCGCAAGAGATTTCAATTACCACTCAGGAGGAGGAGGAGAGAATATTTGGTGTGCGGGCCCCCTGTGCGGCCCTGGAGTTGACAGTCCGGCTGTTGTCCACACTCCCGCCAGTGCTCCTTCTGAACAACCCCAAACTGTTCCTCACACACACCCTCCTGCCAAAGAAGGTTTCAGTTTATTCTCCAGCTCGGGAAAAGGACGGACGACGAGGAAGAAAAAAGAGGGAGGCGGCAGACAGCAAACGTAGAATAAATGTCCAGCTTGTCCTCCGAGCGAAATCGGGGGAGGGACACGCAGGGGGAGCGGCGAAGAGGGAGCTGCCCATTAAAACCAGCGCTGAGAGTCCTGGCGGCGGCGGCGGCGGCGGCGGCGGCAGCGGCGCGGGACGCGTCACATCCCCTTGACCCTCCAATCACCTCGGGCTCCCATTTGATTGGAAGGCGGCAAAGGCTTTAATCTCCCCCTCGGTGCAGCTGCTTTTGAAGTGAGTTTCCTCGCCAGAGCCCAGGCTGGACAGGCAGCGGCTCACATCGCGGAGAGCAGCGCAGGCGCTAGCGCCGGGCCGCGAGAGCGCAGCGCAGGGGCACAGCCCGAGGCGGACACCGCGAGCCACCCGGCACTCCCACAGTCGGGCCGGCTCCTCCCGCTCGGCCACGGCTCCGCTGCGGGCCACCCAGGATTATTCGCTTCTGGCTCCAGGCGCCGAGAAGGCGCTCTGGGCGCCCGTGATCGCCGCGCCAGCTCCTCCTCCTCCTGCTGCTGCTCCTGCTCCCCCGGCGAGCGCGCAGCCCCGAGCCCGCCCCGCGCCTCCAGGAGCCCTCCCCCCGCTGCTCCCATGCGCGCGGGTGGGTCATGAGCACAGCGCCCTCGCTTTCTGCCTTAAGAAGCAGTAAGCACAGCGGCGGCGGCAGCGGCAGCGCGGACCCTGCCTGGACCAGCGCGCTCTCTGGAAATAGCTCCGGCTCCGGCCCCGGCCCAGGCTCGTCCCCGGCCGGCAGCACCAAGCCTTTTGTGCACGCCGTGCCCCCCTCTGACCCTCTCCGCCAGGCTAACCGCTTGCCCATCAAGGTGCTGAAGATGCTGACGGCACGGACTGGCCACATTTTGCACCCCGAGTACCTGCAGCCCCTGCCTTCCACTCCCGTCAGCCCCATAGAGGTAAGGACCCTATCCCTGGAGCGCGCTGGGACCACCACCCTGGCTGCCCCTTCACAGGATTTCTTTCTCTCTGGATCGGGGGAGGGGGGGATGGAAGGGGGGTCGGAGTGATTCAGCTCCGGGATGAGAGGAGAGGATAGTGGTCCCGCACCTTAAAACTAGGGCGGAAAGAGAGGAGGTGGTAGAATGAGGTGTGAATACTAGAAGGTAAGGCAGCCGAAACTTGTTTCTCCCTTTGGTATTAAAGCCCCTACCCCGACCGAGGTCCGCTCATTCTCAGCCTGGAAGATAGGAGCCCGGGAGCCCAAACTACGGTTCCAAAGTCCCAGTCCTCCGGTTCTCCAGAAGCTGGTGTTTGTACACAGCCTCTAAGGCGCCAATCACCCGAACCCTTACTCGAATTAGGGGTGTGTGTGGGTGCGTGGGGTTACAGTTCTGGGTCAAAGAGTCAGAAACCAAAACATTTTGCAATTTTTTTTTAATACAGTCATCGCTTAGAGAGGACAGGAAAGATCCTGATGGCGGGCGTGGGGGGGGGAGTGCTGTGGCCTTTCTCAAGAGCGAGAATGTGTGTGTGTAGAAGGGGTGTCGCCTAGAATTGCGCCTTGGGGCTGGGAGGATCTTTGCGGGTCTTGGCGGAGGTGCGTTTGAAACCTAGAAGCCAGGATTCTAAACGGTTTCCCCTTCTTTCTTTGTGCCCCCCCCCCACGTCTGACCCCCGCAGCTTGATGCCAAGAAGAGCCCGCTGGCGCTGTTGGCCCAAACATGCTCGCAGATCGGGAAGCCCGACCCCTCGCCCTCGTCCAAACTCTCCTCGGTCGCCTCCAACGGGGGAGGCGCGGGTGGTGCTGGCGGCGGCGCCGGGGGCGACAAGGACGCAAAGTCGGGCCCCCTCAAGATGAGCGACATCGGCGTGGAGGACAAATCGAGTTTCAAGCCGTACTCCAAACCCGGCTCGGATAAGAAGGAGCCGGGAGGCGGCGGCGGCGGAGGCGGGGGCGGCGGGGGCGGCGGCGGGGGGGTTTCGGCGGAGAAGTCAGGATTCCGGGTACCGAGCGCCACCTGCCAGCCATTCACGCCCAGGACAGGCAGCCCAAGCTCCAGCGCCTCGGCCTGCTCGCCAGGAGGCATGCTGCCTTCGGCCGGGGGCGGCCCGGAGGGCAAGGACGACAAGAAGGACCCCGAGGCGGGCGGCGGCGGTGGCGGCAGCAAGGGCTCCGGGGGCGCCTCGGCCGAAGGGGGACCCACGGGGTTGGCGCACGGCCGGATTAGCTGTGGCGGCGGGATTAATGTGGACGTGAACCAGCACCCAGATGGGGGCCCCGGGGGCAAGGCTCTAGGCTCGGACTGTGGCGGCTCATCGGGCTCCGGCTCCGGCCCCAGCGCGCCCACCTCCTCCTCGGTGTTGGGCTCTGGGCTGGTGGCGCCCGTGTCGCCCTACAAGCCGGGCCAGACAGTGTTCCCTCTGCCTCCCGCGGGCATGACCTACCCAGGCAGCCTGGCTGGGGCCTACGCCGGCTACCCGCCCCAGTTCCTGCCACACGGGGTGGCGCTCGACCCCACCAAGCCGGGCAGCCTGGTGGGGGCGCAGCTGGCGGCGGCCGCGGCGGGCTCTCTGGGCTGCAGTAAGCCCGCCGGCTCGAGCCCCTTGGCCGGAGCGTCGCCGCCGTCCGTGATGACAGCCAGTTTGTGCCGGGACCCGTACTGCCTCAGCTACCACTGCGCCAGCCACCTGGCTGGGGCGGCGGCAGCCAGCGCGTCGTGCGCTCACGATCCAGCCGCGGCGGCTGCGGCTCTCAAGTCCGGATACCCGCTGGTGTACCCCACGCACCCTCTGCACGGCGTGCACTCATCGCTAACCGCTGCCGCGGCTGCCGGCGCCACACCGCCCTCTCTGGCCGGCCACCCCCTCTACCCCTACGGCTTCATGCTCCCTAACGACCCACTCCCCCACATCTGCAACTGGGTGTCGGCCAACGGGCCTTGCGACAAGCGCTTCGCTACGTCCGAAGAGCTGCTGAGCCACTTGCGGACCCATACGGCCTTCCCCGGGACAGACAAACTGTTGTCGGGCTACCCCAGCTCTTCGTCTCTGGCCAGCGCTGCAGCGGCCGCCATGGCTTGCCACATGCACATCCCCACGTCGGGCGCCCCGGGCAGCCCCGGGACGCTGGCGCTGCGCAGCCCTCACCACGCGCTGGGACTCAGCAGCCGCTACCACCCCTACTCCAAGAGCCCGCTCCCCACGCCCGGCGCTCCCGTGCCCGTGCCCGCCGCCACCGGACCCTACTACTCCCCCTACGCCCTCTACGGACAGAGACTGACCACGGCCTCCGCGCTGGGGTACCAGTGAGGACGGTCGGGAGGGCTGTCGAGGGAAAGAAAAGAACTGGGGAGTGGGGAAGAGCCGAGGGAGGGGCGGGAACAGGGCAGAGGCTACTGTCACCCGCGCGTGGGGATCACCCGGGCCAGAAAAGGAAAAAATATATATATACCGTATCTATCTACCCGAAACAGCGACCGAGACCCGGTGGGAAACTCACTCTCCTTTTCCCCACCTCTCATCTCCCCACCCAAACTTTATAAAAGTTGAAAAAATATCATTTGACTTTTTATAGAAAAAGAAGGAAAAAATAATTGAGAAAGTGTTCATCTGAGGACTGCATCGGTGGACACTGGTATTTATTTATGTTAGCTCCAAGCGGACCCGTGGTTCAAAAGTGCATTACTTAGTTTGAGCTCCGTAGGTAAAAAGGAAGAGGGGGAAAAAATTAAACCTTGAGGGTAAAAATGTGGAAAACAAACCCTCCCGTCCCTTGTAGATTATAAATAAATACAAAACCGCCACAGAACTAGAGGTCTTCTCTTTAATGTTACTTTAAAATTGCTATGATTGTATTGTACGTTCTTATTTAATGTCTGATTGAAACAAATTTACCTGCATGTTTGTTACAAAAAATGAAAAAAAAAAACAAAACAAGTCACAATTTGTCAGCTCTGATTTCAAATTGCAATTATTTTTAAGGTGTATACCATCGAAAGAGAATGGATATTTTTTTGTATGTAGTCTGGAAGAAAAAAAAAAGGAAAAACAATTCTATTCCAAAACCTCATTTGCCTTATTTTGTTCTTTAAAAGGAACACTTAACTATTTTTAATTTTTAAGTCCACCCGCTGAGAAGGGGACAAGTAAGGTTTACGTCATGTACTAAAATAATAGACAATGTATCGCTTTAAAGATTAAAATTCCGTA